TGGCTCTTTCTCGCTTGTTTATGTTCCCAAAATTAAGTATTTTGCCATTCTTCCATGTGATTTAAAATAAATGGCAATCCAAATGGAAGCAAGAAAGAACATCAAGCCCAATAAAGCTTGTAAGCCTAAGAGATGGCCCAAAATTAATGGCAGCCCAAGTAGAGTAATCACAACCGATGTGCTACTTCTTCCACTCAAAATTTTGGGAAAACCAATAAACTACCATGACCCAAAAGGAATAAATAGGGCCCAAATTCTTTAGACAGATATGAGGAGTGATGAAGCCCAATAAAGATAAATTATTATGACCCAACTTTGTATACACATTTGACCCAATATCCATTGAAGCCCATTCACAAACCTTGTAGTGGGAATTAATTATTTTCTGCCAATTATCAGACTAACCAACTTGCAAAACTTGAATGGACAATGCCTTTGTACCAACACGCCACCATCACATCAAAATTTAAATTGACACATGGGGAAAAGCAGGAACTGTGCACTACCGTCTAGGGCTGGACATGGTCCGGTTCGGTTCGGTTCTAATGAGAGTCGAGCAGACCCAAAATTTTCGGGTATTTAGTAAGTGAAACCGTCGGGTTCAAATTTAATTATAGAACCGTTGGGTTCGGTTCCATTCGGTTCGGTTCGGTCCGGTTCGGTTCCATTCGGTTCCGTATTATAATTAAATTTTTTAATATATACAAAGTTACGTTAATTTAATTAATGATATATTCAATATTAGCTCTTACAAAATAACGTAGTTTAATCTTATGTGTTTCACGTCTCTCTTTACTGAATTCTTCATAAATTTGATTATTAAAATCACAAAAAGAGAAAGATAGCGAGCTCAAAATAATTAAGAGAGATGTTGTGGAATTTTAATTCGATTTTCTCCAGTAAAAACGACACTACAGCAGAATAACAGATTTGGATAAAATTGAGGTCAATTCGATTAAGTTGATTTTGAACTGAAAATTATAAATAGGAAAATCATATTTTGTGGTTTGAATTAAATTAACTAGTTAACAAATTTATTTAGAAAAAATAAAATAATTTTACTTATTTAAAATAAATTAATTAAAAAAATTACGAAAATTCGGTTCTTCGGGTCTTGGACTAGAACCGAGAACCGAACCATACCCGTCGGTTCTTGATTCAAATACCCGTTCGGGTATTTAATTTGAGAAGAACCGTCGGGTTCGGTTCCGTTCGGTTCGGGTTCGGTTCGGTTCGGTTCGGGAGTTTTGTTCAGCCCTACTACCGTCCACTATGAAGCTGGGGGTTGCTTTAACATTCGTTATCGTAGTTTGCAAAATCTTGCATAGTTAATGTAGCCATAAAAAAGGGAAAAATGACTAAGCATTTTGGCGGGTGAACGGGTAGAATGTCTAATTTGTGGCTTGATTCTATTTCTTGAACAATAATCTAATTTTTGGAGGGTATGGAACACTTACCAACCATTGTTGGAAAGGAAGCAAGATGAAGATAATGGGTGTTATGGTTGATGTCAACATTGAAAAGTTAGCTAATTGGCACTGAAGTTGGACTCATTTTTCTTCACCTTTCATGGTTTTCATCTTCCGTTGACTAGAATTAGTCATTTCTCATGGTGGCATTCTCCAACCCGAGTTTCTTCATTCCAGCGATAACCATTTTCACGGTAGGAACCATAGTTGAGAAATTCCTTTTTTTCAACGAGATTTTTAGTAGCCATATCCCCTTCATCTTTGGTGGCTGACCTTTTTGTTTTGGCTGAAGATTGCTTGGATGATCATCTTCAATTGCTGTCTATGCTGTTTTGTAGAGAAAACTGTCCACGAAAATTTATCATCCCGACGACTAATTCTCTAATATGGAAGCCAAAGAAAATCCTCAAAAATTCTGTATTTGGAAACTCCAATTCCAGTAGCTTTTTTCTTAGTTGTTGGTGGCTAATTTTTTTGAATTTTTGGTGGAGGAAACTATTAAGAAAAATCACTTTTTTTCGAATACTGCCCTTTTTTTTTCTTTTCTCTGGTTGTTGTGTTGTTGTCTTTGCTTTCTTTTGCAGAGAAACTGTTGAAAAAATTTTCAGTTCTCCAATGACCTTTTGTAGGCGGTGTAATATGATTTGTACCGTTTTTCATAGACGGCGCCAACCTATTGACCTCCAAAAATGGCGCCAACAGATGTTTTACTTCGTCCTCTCGAAACCTGCACACGTAGCACTCCATCAAGAGGCAAAAACGGCCAGACAAGAAAAAGGTCCGACGACCGTTTGCACTCCGACGGTCAAATTAATGGTCGGACAAAGATAAATATATAGAATGCAATAGTAGAGAGATGGGGAATTTGGCCAGAGAGACCATACCTTAATAGTGTGAATGAATCCATATATATAGAGGAAAGGGAAGTGAAATGGGCCAAAATGGTTAGTTGGCCTAAGTCCGAGCCCAATAAGGAAATGATTATATAAATATAATAATAGGCACCTCGGCTAGACTTCTTAGGGCCTCGGTGGTGCTTCAACTGATCTCTTTAGAGCCTCGACATTGGGGCCCAACTATAATGGGCCTCGTTCGGGTCTAATAAGATGGTCCAATATGGGATTATAATTTATAAGCGTAACATAACCTTTGTTTGGTGGCCATTATTTTCATTTTAAAGAGTTTGGAATAGTATTTTTTGGAAGAACGTGGTTAAAAAATAAGGAAAAATTTTAGATTTACGTGTTGAATATTTTATTGTTTAAATGTGTGGTTAAAAATGATTATGTGGAAAAAAGAATTTTAAAACAATGGGAATCAAACAGAGACATAATTTATTCGAAGTGGATCCCCTCATTTAAGGGGTGGACACTATTATGAATACTACATTATTACAAGTAGCATATTCTTAATATTAAGAAGTTAGAGAGAAGGGCAATAAAACGGAGGCGGGGTTGAGTTCCCATGAAGGCACATCGTTGGGATTCATTCATTGCATTCACACACATCTACGCTTCTTGCTGCTAACTCTTATTCTTATGGAGTTAGATGAAAGGCTCTTGCAATCTCGTTGCTTCGGTTGTTGCTGATCCCACCACTGCACTTTCCTTGTGTATTGCTAGTGATCATGTTGTAACATTTAACCTTTCCTCCTCAATTTTTTGTTCACCATATTCATGCATAAGCAGGGGCGAATTTAGTGTTTTGAGTGAGCACGGGCGGTGGTTGACCATTTTCGTCGGTCGCAATAAAATATTTGAAATTAAATATAACAATTATTTTGCTAAAAATGAAGATATATTAATTTTGTGATAAAATTTAACAAAATTCTATACTCCCCATTGGTCAAGCTTTGCATATTCCAAAAGAAGAGAAAATGTTTGAATTGTTTTAATTGCAAAGCACATATAAAATTTTGTTACATTGAGTGCCATGACCCACATGGTGCCATAGTGGTCAAGTCCTCAACAATCTTAAAGAAGGTTCCAAGTTCGAATAAGTTCCCTTGCATCACTTTTGGTAAAAATTGTTGAATTAGAAAATTAGCAATACAAATTGCTTTGGAAGCGTTTCGAACCCGTGAGCTCTAATTTGATTATGGTAGCTCCAATTGACTTAGCTATGGAGAATTTTTGTATATGAAATGAATTATTAGTTATATAATATAAATTATTTAGCTGTTGCTGACAAAAAAAAAAATTGTTCATGACGGATCCAGCTAGGGCGGTTGGCCAGTACCTGCATCCTCCACTGCGCATAAGGAATATTTTTCAACCCAGGAGATGAGCAGGGGTGGAACTGCATGGAAACTATTGTTTGAGCCCCATTGTTTTAAAAATTCATTTTTTTAATTCAACCACGCATTATTTAATAAAATAATATTACATGTAAATTAAAAACTTTTCTTATTTTTTAACCACACATTCTTCAAAAATTACTATTCAAAATTGCATTTTTCTCTTAAAATGGGACTCAAACAAGGGTCTAATATGAAAGTCAAGATAATGAGAGAGATTAAGAAATATCTTTCCTTTTTTTCAATTTCTTTCTCTTTCTTTTGTTTGTTTTTATTTAATTTTTCTAATTGTTTTATGTTGAAAAATGTAGGTTTACCATTTTGCCTTTTAAAAATGATCAAAACACCTTGGGTGCATTTGATTTGCTATTTTCAAGTTGTTTTCAATTTTTTGTTGCGTAAAACACTGAAAATTTGTCTGGTCTGCTATTTCTGAAAATGTTTTTTGAAAACAAGATTGAACTTATAACATAAAATTCAAACTCATTCTTGATGTTTTAAGTATTTTCAATGAAATTTTTGAAACACTCAAAATATGAAAAACGAGTGTTTTAATAAAAATTTATCTAAAAAAATTTAAATTAAAAAATTTTTAAAAGTAAAAATACAAATTCTAACAAATAAAATTGAAAATATTGTAAGATTCTTCAACTTTAAAAAAAAATATATTATTTGATAATTTATTAACATAAAATTGTTCTATTTTATTGAATAATCATGACATAAAAATTTCATAAAACAATTTTTCAAAATATCAAGCAAAACATACTTTTTAGTTATTTATTTATTTATTTAGTAAATGATAAATCAAACGTATTTTTAACTATCTTAAAAGAAACCCTAAAAACAGAAAACTAAAAATGAATTAAAAGTGAGAATGAAACACGAACTAAATGGGCCATTTACTTTTGATCCAATCATTTGGACACATTTCACCCGGAAGTTCTTATACCATACATTTATTGATGGGTTTAGAATGTGACTGCTAGGATTTAAATGTTGAGGACCTCTACTGCAAATATTTTACATAGTCGAAAACAGCCAAACTTGTACGAACTGTAAACAACACACCCAAAATATTTGCTCTTTATGATAAAAATTTGATGTTTCATGATAATTCTGTGTGCACAGTTTTAACAATCCCACTTCCATATATGAACTTAATTCCAAGAAGCAACAGATAATGTCATGTAATCAACTTCTTAATCGAAATTAAGCACACAAAGTAAGAGAAGTGCACAAAATGAGAGCCTTTTTTCCTATTTATACATACAAATTACAATATCGTCGTATAGGAAACATGAGTAGCATTTATGGAAGAAGGCTACAGTCTTATTCATACGGTCGAGTTCTATCCAATAGTATGGTCCAAACGTGCACTAGAAAACTTTATTGTAGCAAACAAAGCATGATAAAGCTACCGAAGGTAGCTAGCGCCTTCGTGCAGCTGTATCTCGCTGTGCATTGAAGAAAACGGCAGCAACTGGGAGGCCCAAATTGTTCTCTGCAGCAAAACTTCGAGTGCTGAAGTGATCCCTCGAAGCAGGTGGACTTACAGTTTGTCTGGCTGTCTGCTGGAAAAGAACGAACACAAACCTGTGGATACCTATATTCGGCCTCGGGATCTCGTAGCTTACTAATTCCCTTCCTGTCAAAATATTTTTAATCCTCAGAATAAGCATATATTTCTTTGTTCTTCTATTGATAAAGGAAAAATTAAGCCCTCTCCCACTCTGTGTGTGAGGTAGGTCGCGGAAAGTTATATATCTTACCAAATGTGACATCAGTTGTCCCTGGAATGTCAGTGACTAACCTGTGACGTGGTTCATAAAAGACAAGGAACAGTTAGCTCTTACGTTTATGTCCCTATTGGCTACATATAGGAGCCGTATCTGCTCGAAAACAACCAGTCTTGTGATGGCCCGGAAGGCATGGACTCTCAAAACGTCCCCACTCCTTTACTACATCCTCGTACAGCAAAGTAGTTAATAAAACCCCAACAAGTCAGAAGTTTTTTCACTTTTGAATAAATAATTAAGCTAGTTCATTGCCCAGTTTAAGGAATTTTTAGCTCTTACACCTTATAGGGTTCAAGTTCTTTCACTAATATTCACCTACTTATTCACGACTTCCTGTTTCCATTTATTATTCTTCTAGGTGATCCTTGCATGATCACCTGATCCTCTATTATTTTCTTGATTAAACAGATGCTCCTGCGGAATGGTCTAGCCACTAGATATATAAAAGATTAAAGGACTATTGTATTACATGGTTAATATTCATATCTTGATGATTTGATCTTTTATGAAAAAGAACTGAATGCCCATGATCCATTGATCTTTACAAGCTATTAATATGTATGAATTTAGGTTATACCAGTGTATATGCTCCCTGAGATATGGATCACTGGGGCCAGGGACATCAGGGTCAGTCATCACCTGCAACCAGACATGTAACTATACTTAACTTGATAACACTCGATGATCGTCATTTAGGGAAAAAAAATAAATAAATTAAGATCTCATATGTGCATGTTATTCAATATTGCGTATAACGTTCCAAAGTTGTCAAGAAGAATTGAAAAGAAGTAACAAGAGATGGATAATTAATATCGAGTATGTACCAATGTGTAAAATGTTCTCATATCACCACCACAAACCTCAACCCTTGGTCTAGTGGTGACTGTGGAAGGATAGAACTCATGACCATTGAAGACTTGTCTATTGCCATAAGTCACAGACATTTGTGTGGTTGGAGAGAAAGAATCAAGAACATCTCCTATCACTCTCCCAACAATCAAGGGTTCTAATACTCTTGCCATGTGTGTGTGTGTGTGTGTGTGTGTGTGTGTGTGTGTGAGAGAGAGAGAGAGAGAGAGAGAGAGAGAGAGAGAGAGAGAGGGATTCCTTATTGATTGGAGAAGACACTCAAATGGGATTTCTAATTGCACATGGATTGAATTAGACAAGCCCCATATATATAGGAAAGTACATGAAGCAAGTTCTCATCATTATTCAATAAAAATATAGACGTAATACGATTTTGATGCAAAAATAAATATGATGTGCCCTTACCGATCATGTCAAAGATCAAATTTGAAGAACTATGCCTTATTTTATACCATTAACTTATAATCAAGATAAGAACATGGAATATGAGGAACAGAATATGGGACTTCATTAAAATTCATGACATAGAGAAGAACTCATTGTGAACCCCCAACCACGCAAAAGTGCATAGACACATCTTCTTTCTTTCTGTACTTTAAAATGCATGACACACAGTAGAATTCATTATGAAACCCCCTAACAGACGCACACATACTCTTATTTCTTTTTTCCCATTTGGATTAAGAAAAAAGAATTCATGTGGGTGTGTACAATAAAATAAACTCTAATCTTCTATCCCGTGTAAGAGTTCAGACATCGCATGTGGTCACAACTTAACAAGTTGCAATACATGTATTATGCTATTTGTACAAAGTGTGTTTAAAAATTTGGTTGGCGAAATTCAGATAATTGATTTCCAATAATTTAAAAATTCGTCTTTGAAATAATTCATGTAGATATTATTTTGTGAACTAACTTTGTGAACCAATTTTGTACATGTAGCATAAAACAAAATATTTTTCTTCATTTCAATGCAAAAGGAAAAACTAGGGTTTTCAACTTCAACATCCCATCACTTTTAAGAGGAATCCATCTTTTGCATTTAGGGTAATAATAAGTAAAGCTTTTGGTCTCCAATGTAAAATTAGACCTTCTTGTGGGAATGGGCATAATGTCAGGGCATAAAGGAACTCCACCACACATTTGAACATTAAAGACAATGATTTCTAATTGAGGAGATGTCAAATCAAGAAATGATAGTAAGACTTACTTGATTAGGCAACGTAGAAGTGAGATTTCAATAATTAGCCCTTGCTTGAGCCACATTTTTTTGAAAAAAAATGTATTTTTAAATAGTGTATTGATGAAAAATATGTGGTTAAAAAATAAGAATTTTTTTTGTATTTGTGTGTAATATTATTTTATTGAAAAATGTGTGTTAAAATAATGTCAAATCAGCGTTTAAAAATATATTTTTTTTACAAATAATGTGGATCAATTAGAAACCAAAGTCACTGGTTGATAATTAAGTTCATCATATTCCATATGTTTCCTCCTCTCCTCACTTTTTTGTTGCTTGACTTCTATCATATTCTTTGTCTTGTATTTATCACCTCCACGCGGTTGCAATTTAGAGGTTACTCCATATATTCTTGATCTTTTATTTAAATTAAGATATTGAAAAAAAAAAAAATTTATAAGAATAACCAGATGTTACTTTGATAGTAAATTTTTTACCATTTTCTATGTAGTAAAGTTGCTGCCAAGGAATAATAAGTAATAACACAACCAATTCCAAATACCATGACCTGTTCTGACAATTTAAAACAAGTTAGGTTCCTTTGCATGGGCTTGACGCGTTTTGTATGGTTCGAGGAGGTTTACTTATTTTATTTCTTAGGGGATTTATCAATCTTTGGTTAGCTTTATATGATTGACTACTATATTAATTAATTCTAGCTGTTGGTGGTGAAAATGGTGAAAATTATAAGATTCCTTTAGAGCCGGACTTCAGGTATTGATGAGGTTCCTACCTCAGACCCAAAAAATTTGATTTTTTTTTTTTAATTTTAAACCTTTTTTCTTAGTTTTGAAATGAATTATACTTAATCTCTTATATTTGAAATTTGGAAAAAATGACACAGGAGCAAACTTTTAAAAATTGTAGTTCAAAAATCTGGTACAAAGTTTACTTATAATAATAATAATAATAATAATAATAATAATCATCTACATATTAACCCAACCTAACCCCACGTCACCCACCCTATTGCATTCAAACCCTAATTTATTTCTACCTCATCCCTCTCTCTATCTCTCTTCTCAGTCCCGTTGGTCTTTTCCGGTGACTTCTCTCTAACGTTGAACCGATGGTCAATCATCGTTGGAGAAATCGATAGAAAATTGCTACTGTTAAAGTCATCTCTTGTCTCTAGCCATCCGGCACTGCAATCGCTGTTAAAATCATCCCTCGCCTCTAGCCATCTGATGGTCAATCATCGTCGTTGCAATCATCACTTCAGATGATGCTGCTATAGTCACTACTTCAGATTGTGGTGTTGGTGTTCGTCTGACGCTGCTTGCCTAAGAAATTGTGTTTGGATGTTGTTATTGACGGTGTTGTGGTGATGGTAGTGCTGTAGTGGTGTTGGTGTCGGTGTCGTGGTGGTGACGTTGGTGACGGTTGCGGCGATGGTGATGGTGATTTTATTAGATTTGGGGGGTGCTTTTTATTGATATAGGCGACGGTGGCGACTGTAGTACTCGAAGACAGATTTGGGGATGTTTTTTATTTTATTTTTTTGGTAGGGGATATGGAGTGGAGTGGTGGGCTATTGGCAACGGCGGCAACAATAGTAACCAACTATTTGGTTAATCTATGATCAATTATTTGAATGTGACTTAAAAATTCGATAATTTGTAACTGAAAAATAATTTATAATCAACTAATTTGGAAATTTGTAATCGAACAAATAAATTGTGGTCTATAAATTTTTTGATTTGTCACCAATAAAATAAATTGTGACCTATCAAAATTTTTGTTGTGACCATAAAATAATCTGTGATCAATTAATTTGATAATATATGATGTTGTGGCCTATAAGTATGCACTTGTGACCATTTATTGTATAATCATGGCATTAATATATTTAATTAATAATTTTTTTTCTTATTTATTAATTAATTAATACCCGAGTTTGCATTTTGCAATTTAAAACCTGAAAATTTAATTGTCTCATACTTAATGTCTGAATTGTGATTTTTTTCCCTTGAAATTCTCC